ACAAGGCTTTGGACTAACATTGAAACATGGAAACCCAGACCGTTATGTAAAAGGGATTGTGGGAAAATTAGGAATGGGAAACATGTTGAAACAGCACAACGGTTGCCTTCAGGAAAAAGGGATAGTTGGGGAGAGGGATACATCAAACATAAACAAGATGAGTTATACAAAATTCCTTCTGATTTGATTAGTGATATACTTGTTAAAACCCAGCCGCCCGATACCTTGTAGTCGCCGAGGGAGGTGCCTTCTGACAAGCAGGACTCACACGTGGGGGTTGGGGTTGTTGTTGTTGTTGTGGTGGTCGGCGGAGGCGTCAGCTCTTGTCAAAAAGAAGCAATTCCTGACCTCGTATCCAACCCTTCCTTTTCGTTAGTAATGGGTGGTTTGCTTAAGCGAATCCCCGTTCGCTCCCACCTCATCACTAACCGGATAGGATGCCACAAACAGAGTGGCAGACCGAATTACGGATACGAGGTCAGTCCTATGTAAGAAGCTTAAAATCCGACAGCTTAGTATTAGGAAAGGAAATACCCTACTATAGTATTGTGAAATGACTATTTCCAATCCTCTATTTCACTGTTGCGAAATGCACGTTTCACACTGCTGAAACACCACTAGAAACAAGGAAAAACGGTGTTTTGGTTTCATCATTGTGAAGTGCTCTCTTTCAGAGCTACGCCTTACACTTGTCTGCCAAATGGAAACCGTTTATTTACACTGGACGAGTAGGAGAGAGTAAATATTATGTGTTGATTAGCAATATATGTTTGAAAGGTGATAAAGCACTTTCATATGCGTTGAAACCACCAAAAGAATTATTAAGAATGATGAAGTATGATGAAGAAGTAAAGGTTGGAATAGAAATTAGTTCGAAAATTATGTATAAGAATAATATTTGCAACTGTAGTTATTATGCATCAAGCAAACAGAACAAGATAACAAGTAGAGCGTCATTACAATTTCATATTGAAAAAATAGTTGAAGAAATAAAACAGACTATGAAACGAAACGAAATCATTACTATAGAACATATTACATTTGAAATTTATACATAACAGAAACAATGATTTCATGGCTTTATCATAATATTTAATTATAATATGATTAAACATTGTTTTATAATCTAACAAGAAGGTTAAGACATTTAAATTAAACCTGAAACCCAGACCAGCCGACCAGCAACCCCCTAGCCAAAACTACTTAAAGAAATATTACCTTATATATTAAGAGAAAAATGAACGGTGATGGAATCAATAATTATATCGATAAAAAATGCTATGATTGTTGTCACTTCAAAAAAGAAAATATGGAATTGTATAAATTGAGTTTACCTAATGAAATAGTGAATAATATTATTAATTATTCAATGGATGGTGAAGAAGACATATGTAAAAATTGTAAAACTTGGAGAGATAATCAATTTTTAATCAAATGTCTGTTGGGAATAAAAAGAATACATAATAGAAATGTAGAAGATGATATTTTAATATTTCTAACTGTAAATAAAATACCACCTTACGATTGTGTTAAACAGTTTCTTAAAATCAGTAAGAAAAATATGAAATGATTGATGATATATTATGGATGTTGGGTTATAGTCAAGAGAAAGGAGAAGATGTTAAAGAAAATATCAAATTATTTATTGAAAGTAAAAAGTTTAATGTTCAGAATACAGTGAGAGATGTTAATATTATTTTTAAGATGATGTATGAAAGAAGTAAGACAAACCAATTAGATTATTATCCTGAACTGAAATTATAATCATAATATAATAATAACATGTAAAATCTTATATGTTATAATTATACTGAACTTTTAACCTATAAATGAAAATTAATGAGAACAATACTAACAAAACAAATACACCACCAACACCTCAGAACTTGATAACTACTAAAAGGGCTACCTCTTTCAAATGAAAAAAATGTCGGCCCCCAGCTCAACAATGAACAAGGCGACAATTTACCCAAGTGATTACCTTAACGAAAACGATAAATAAGCTCCCTAAAAACCCTCTTTTAAAAACGAATAAGGGGGAACATAGATTTGAGATGAACATAAAAACCAGCACAGGCAACCATCAAAAGGCCACCCCCCGGGCCCCCCCTTTTTACCATTTTTTCCCCCACCTCCCCCACCAACCCCCACCTCCCCCACCAACCCCCACCCCCACCTCCCCCCCCCCACCCCCACCTCCCCCACCAACCCCCACCCCCACCTCCCCGCTTAAGCAAACGACCCCCAAGACGACACGGGCGTCCGAGTCGCCGCAGGCCTCCGTGCTGCGGGCGCTCTGCGCCGAGGCCTTCGAGCTGGCGCGCGGGCCCAGCGGGCGGAAGCCCGCTTCCGCCGGGTTAAGGAAGACGAAGGACCCAAACCCGGACACGGGTGCTACCATCAATTTCTGGGGTCTTATGCCGGTTTTTTTGTTTTACTGTCAATTTTTGGAGTGTTACCATCGATTTGTATATGGACCGCAGGATTTGGTGCGTGTGTCCGATTACCAGGGTAACCCACGTATGGGGTCAACTTGACCATTAAAACAATGGTTGGGTTAGAATAACACCCTCCGCCCTCTCCCAGAGGGTACTTTTATCACCATTAAACCAGCGGGTTAGCATAACCATCATTGTTTACCGTTCAGAAATTGCGATCAGCTTTCTATTCATTGGTTTCGAGCATGGCCTAAAACACGTTTAGGCTGACTTTGCATACAATCATAAGCGTAGGCTCGGCCAGCCCTTCTGTCTAAACACTTGTGGGCTTATGGGCGTTGAAACATTTTGAAGACCACTGTATTTTGAGCAAGGACGGGCTAGTCACACTTCATGCTCGAGCAGACCGGCCACCTGCCTGCGCTTTTGGGGTGCTTAAACGGCTCCTGGATAACTAAGCGGCTCTCCCATGTTTCAACAGTTTGGGGGTTTCGGAAGCCGTGCAATTGTTTGGGGAAACGAGAAGTGAGAACATTGAGATAACTTGAGGTGAAAGTCAGAGCCGGGCACTTTTTCCCAAGACTTCAGGATAGGATCTACTTCGGGTGAAGCTGGATGATGTACCTCATTCCGTAGAGCCAGGGTTTGTGTCGACCCTTCCATTACCTTCAAAAAGGGCGTGCGGGCGTGTTTTGCCTGTTTTCTCACATGTTGTCGCACGTTTTGATGTCATACCTTTCTCATAAAGCAGGGGTCCCTGAAATGGCAAGAGTTTCCCCCTTCAAAGACCTAGCAAAAGAGGGGTCTATTAGGAGAGACTCCCATATCTCTCCATCGGTATACGGAGTCTCAGACACTCGGGAGTTTTTCCAGGTATCCCTAAATCTCCGCAGGATCCCTTTAAAGGAAGCCAGGGATCGTGGGGTGCTTCCCTCATTCCCGGCTGAAAACCAGTGTAGAGTACTTGGATGCTCGATTCGCCAAGTTCGTGAGGCGTTAGCCACCTGGGTTACCCGCAGATAGCAACTGTTGTCTCCACTGAACGAGGGACTTGTAAGTGCGTGATCACCTATGTTACCAAACAAGTATATAACTAGCTTGGCGAATCAAACACCCAGGTATCTAGGGGTACCTTCCCCATTCTTTCCAGGGATCCTTCTTTCTAGATAACCCTCCGGAAACCCAGGAAAAATAGCTGGCTTTTGAAAAGAACGATGGTTGAAAAGAATGGAAATGGGATCAACCCCTAGAAAGCAGGGTCTCCATGGGTTTCATCCAGTTGCATCTCTACAAAGCCCCTACGGCCTGCGCCCTTTCGGAGGGAAAAACACAAAATCGTCGACCGCCCCCTCGAGGTTGAATGGAGCCCAGGCTCCCGAAGAGGGCGACAGGTGGGTCACCCCAACGCCCCGCCCTGTCGCCGCTGTCGGATGGGGGGGGCGGTGGGCAGTGATTCATCAAGCGGATTCCACCGGACCAAAGGAGGAGAGTAGCTCACCTAATATCGAGAAAGGAGCTACAAGCAAAATGAGAGTCTTCTCCGAGTTCTCCCTAGTTCACTCGCACCGTGACCTTTCGGTTGTCCAGTTTTGGATTCCCATCATTAGTCATATGCCAGCCATGCTCGTGTTCGCTTGGGAAATTGGGTTTCTACTGTGCAGTGACATGAAATCACTGGGTACCTTGTCGTTTCCAGGTCCGTTTCCCATTTTTGTGGGTCCTCGGCAAGGGGCCCATTTTCAAGGGCACTGCACGGTTCCGTATTGGATCAAAAGGGCTCAGATCCCCGCGCCTCAAAGATGGAATTGGGGTAGGGAGTGCCGCGATCGCCACATGCTCGGAGACTTCGGCAATCTCGTGGCCCCTTAGAGATCTCCATTTATTATTCCAAGACTAGATAAATGGAATTCGGGGACCCCCCACTGCCCACCCAGCTCCCGCTTCAGGTAGAGGGGTGGCGTCTTTTGAGCAGTGACCCTCACGCTGGGGTAAAATGACATCCGCCATGCAGGTTTCTCACTTGGCATCAACTCTGGCCTGTGTTTCGTCGCGGCCTATGTGTAGCTGATTTCCTGTTTGAAGGACCAAAGGTGCCTTTCTTTAGGATTTGGACCCCCAACATGGCTTCGGTGTTCCTTTTTGGCGTCCCTTTCTAAACCACAAAAGGAGACTTGGCTGCATGGTCCGTGTGACCAGTTCTGCCTGCCCTCAAGCTACTGTTCGCCATGTTGCGCCGCTTCTCAACTCAGTGCTTGACGGCACGTGACGCGGTGAATCCTGCACACGTTGAAGGATTGGAAGTAGAATCAATTGGATGTGTAGTTGTTTTGAGGGTAGCCTGTTGGTTCAAAGGCAAGCCAAAAGGAGAACTGAATTCTATGCTCGGGGTCCAAATCCCTCTCTTGACGAGCCACACCCAACTCCAGTGTGTACCTCACCTCCCCGCATGTGGATGTAAAACTCAAGAGCTCAAGTTGTTTTGCCCCCCAGCAAGACCACTTCGTGACCATATCCCTGTCTTGACACGCACTCTATCCATTTCTGGTAATTCCCATTTTCAGGAGAGCAACGAAAGCCGCAAGCCACGCGAGCCTCGATCCGCGGATACCGCGGGAAGCGGAGCCGCGGAGAGCGTGGGATGCGGATCCGAGCGCCATGGGATCGCGATCCATCAGCTTCCCCGGAGGTTCGGGGCCGATTCGATCGGCCCGGGTGTCACCGTCTACGCCGAGTCATCCAAGTTGCTCGCCAGGAAAATTAGGGAAGTAGCAACAGCAAAACAGACCTGCCGAAACCCATTGCAGATAGATCCCTCAAGTGCCCGCGCAATTACGCCGTCATATGGGTTGGCACATGGCCAGTCACTTTTTCAGGGGCCGAAATGGGTGCATGGCCCCAACAAAACCACAAGACTTGTTTGACCTGGCCAAATCTCCACATACCCTGCACTTGACAGGGGGTACCCTAAAGTGGAAGCGTCTATATTCCAGATGCCTCCAATGGCCCAGGAAAGAGGAAGGTTGTGAGCTTATCTTGACTCAGCCGAGTGGCCAAGGAACAAAAAGGGGCACCCTTTGTTTGCCCTAGGGTTCAACCCCGATTAGTTAAAAACATGGCATGGACCCAATTTGGATGAGGACAATGCGTAGACAAATAATGGTGGCTATATATGAACCCTACCATTGCTTTAATGGTGGTTTGAACCCGGGGGTTTTGTTTGGTTTATTTGGGTGGAGCACTGAGCACTGAAGCCCCGAGTGTTTTTTCCTTTTCTGACGAGAAAATACCATGTACTGCACCAGTTGGGATTGCCGGTATTTGCCGGTTCCCAGTTGGATTTCCATCCAGTAAAAAGAACATACAAAAGCATATACAAGCCATTTTTGGTTGAAACAATAAAGACGTGTTACAATAGTAATAAGAATAATAGTCATAAGGATTAGCAACCAATCAACATAGTAGTAATAATAATCAATATGGGTATTCGTCAAAACTAAGCCACCAGTAGACCGTCTACTAGAGTTTCATTCTACTTGCCTATTGTTGACCCACACCCATACGGATGGGTTATTCATTGAATGTATGTATGGAATACCCATGTATGTAATACATATGTGTATATATATATATATGCATATGCAGTACATATACATGGGTTATCCATTCCAACTTCACAGCTCCTTGCTCTACAACCCAAGCAGCAACCACCTCCTTGCTCCTTCGGCTCGCTCGTGTTTTTTTTTCCAATTTACGGTTGGGCTTTGGGCTTTGGTAAGCCCAAGCAACGAAGATCGACCACTTCCTTCCTCGGCTCCAAAGGGTTCTCAGTCCATGAGTTGGTGGACTTTAAACTTTTTGGGGTTGGACCATGTTAGTGGTAAATACAAAGATGTGACTTTTTTTTGGCCATCCACTCAGCAAGTGAGGGTTTTTCCAACTGCCTTGGTTGAGGCCTGGATCTGGTGGCCCAGCTGAACCTCACCGGGCCCCGGGACTTCTTGCTGCAGCTGGAGGAGGCGACGTCCGGCGCGGCGCGGCGGCGCGGCTGGGCTGTGGGCGGCTTCGGGGCTGTGGGAAATGGAATCCACTGCGATACAACAGAAAGGGCTTCCCAACGACTAAACCCCCCATATCGTGGGGGAGATGTCCTTGTATCACAGTGGGGATAAACCCTTGATCCCACAACCCTGCTATAAAGCGGCAAAGTCGAACAGGGCCTTAGAACAGGGGTTCATATAGTAGATTGCAGTTCTATATGTGGCCGCGGCCGTTTTATATCATTAGAACAGGGGTTCATCTAATCAAAGCGGCAAAGTGGCAAAGTGGAAATAAGGGAAGAATCAAAGCGACCAAAGTGGCAAAGAGGAGGGTGCGAGAGAGGGCATGAGAATTGGAATGAGCCCGAGAAAAACTATCCAACCGGGTGGTTTCCTTTATTCGGGAATCCCTGCATTCATTTCCACATTCACTGCGCACCAAGCAAGTTTTGAGTGGAGCTCAAGGACTCAGTCAGGCCTTGTTGGATCCAACTTTTCTTTGGGATACCTTTTCAAGTTGGAGACCAGTCCATTGATCCAAGTATTTGGGAACTCCGGTGGCTGTCAGTCCGACTGGAGCTTCCGATGGAGTCTTAGGGGCAAAGGCCCAAAAGGGACATCACCGGGTGTGCGGTTTCGGTTTCTTTTTCGCCGTTGGCAAGTTTGGGGAGCTTTGGAGGCGCAGATGAGCCGGGTTGTTGGACGACCAAACGACTCAACCAGGGAACTTGGTGGCTTCCAGCCATCCAGTACCGCAGCTTGTTGGCGTTCTTGTGTGGTTAGATTTCCGTTTAACCCACCAGCAGTTATTGACTTTTAGCGGGGGGACAGCCCGAAGTAGATTGTTTTTCCTTCCAGGGGGCCAAAGTCTTGGCGGGGCATCGATTTTCGTTGAAAGGGGGGGGGGGGGGGGCGTGCACGATGTTCACAAAAGGCGGGATCCAACAGTTCAATCGGAGTGCGTTTCGGTCGAAACGCGCCTTGGGGTTTAGGATGGTGGACTCCTTTAGGGAGTTATAGGCAACCGCTACTGAGAGTTCCAACTAGAAAAGACCATGGGCCGCAGAATGAGTGTGACCGCGGCATATCTGTATGCTTGGAATCAAGTCCGAGCCGGGCCATATTTGGAGGAAGCTCGGCGGAATTTTGTTTGTCGGGAGTGTATGGTACCCTTCCTCTCGATCTAAATGCCGCGAAACTCCAAAATGCCCAGTCTGCAAACGATAAGATTCTCGTTAAAGAATCTTTGGGGGTTCCCAGCCATCCGGTGAAGTTGTTTATCTTTTTGGGGTTTAGAGGCAGTTTCCATTTGCCCCACTAGTCAGACTTGCAGGGGATCTGAAATGGATAGCCCAGTGACGGGTTTATCCGAGCGGTTGCCCGGTAGGAGCTTGAGCTCTTCGTGCGCTCAGAGAGGCCGCGTGCCACCAGCGGACCGGTTTTTGTGTGTGCGAGTTTGATAAAAATTTGGCCGGGCCGGGCTGGGGCAAGACTTTTTTTTCAATCAGGGCGAAGTGTCCGTGCCTTCGGCTACCCGGCAATATTGCGCAACAACCCCTGGCCCCCAAGGCCCAAGGGAAAGCACAAGGAGTTGTTCACACACTGCAAAGCTTTGTTTCAACAAGGGATAACCCTATCCTTTGGCATGGCTCTGTTCTTCGCTCGTTGAATGAGTCTGCTTGCAGTGGCTCAAGCGTGCAGAGGCTATCTTGAGTCCATTCGCTTTTGGCGCGACTTGCTTGACTGCCTTACTTCAGAGTCCACGAGGGGCTGGTACCGGTTTTGATGGGATGCAAACGAGTTCCTTGGAGGCGGAAAAAGTTGCAGAAAACCGGCCTACAACCGGATGCAACTTGTTGTACGATCAGGTCTTGGGAGCAACCCGCGTGAAAAAGAAAAAAGCCATGGCGATGCGCACACCTTTCCCCTTGGGTCAATGGTGCCCTGCTAAGGAACCCATTTGGGGGGTGGGTGTTGATGAGTTTTCTTCCACCAGCAGCCTTTTTGCGAAGGGTGACCGCAAGAACCAAGACCCGATTTGCAGCAGTCCATGAATCACAACGGTTCTAGATGCTCATGAAGATAAAACAAATCTAGGTGCAAAGGTTTACAAATGAATGTGCGCAAACCCTTCAGGAAGACTTGCGGGTATGTGTGGTGAGCTTCCCTTAAACCAAGCTGAAAAAGTGTACTGAGCCCTGGAAAGAAACACCCTTTGGGGAAAGGGTTCTGTGTGTGTGTGTGTGTGTTGTGTGTGCGAGTGTTGGGTGCGTGTGGGTTGTTCCATGTGGTTTGCTGGTTCTCAGCAGGGAATGACTTGGAATGACCCTTAGAAAAAGGCCCCTTCCGCTTCATTCCCAACACCGGTCTCGGTTATCGCAGCAGCAAGACAGGGAAACTCACTCCTTTTGGTCACTTTTTGGGGTTGGACCATTTCAGTGGTGAATAAAAGGTTTGCCTTTTTGGTGGCCGATGCAGGAAGTGAGAGAACCCTCCAATTGAAAGGGAAGGACACCGATTCCGGGAGTTGGAATTTGCACCGTTTTCTCCAGGCCAGAGCTGGTTCTGCCGCCGCTGTCACGGCGCTATGAGGCGCGGAAGCTGCATTCCTCAGCTGCGTGCCTCGTCGCCCGATTGGCTAGGGAAGTCTTCCAAGGTTTCTACGACCCGAGACGAACATGTGACTCAAAGAGAGATTCTTGGTGGCTCCCAGCCATCCAGTTCCTTAGCTTTTTGGCCTTTTAGTGTTTAGTGGTAGTTTCTATTTAAACCACTAAAAGTTAAACTGGTAGCGGGGGATCTGAGGGCAGCCCAGGATTTCTGAAATACCCGCCATCATGTAGGGGAAGTATTCTCCATCTTGCACAGGGTGGTCTGGGGGTGGTAGACACTCGCTTACGGGCGCCACAGTCGAGGCTGAGACGCTTGCATGGTGGCATTCAGTGTACTGTGCGAAGGTCATAGAAGAGAGTTCTTATGTAGGGCCGGATCCTTTGGCCATCAAGCAATTAGAGTAAGGATTCCCACTCCAGGATTTCCAGTACAGCAACGCCATAGGTGGTCTGTCAAATTCAGCAATTTGCCCCAATTGCGTTTCTCCATTGTCCAAACAGTTGCCTTGCTTCAAGGCAACACGCCATGCATGCTCCTCTTGCTGGGTCAATAGCAAGGGAATGAGTTGGAATGACCGCGAAGTGAGCCATGCAAGTGGTTTCCTTTAGTGGATCCCCTTCCAGTTCATTCCCAAGACCTCTTTTGACTCCTTCCGTATCAAACCTCGACGGGATTTCCAGAGAGGACCGTTGCGACTCTTTGACCTTTTGGGATGGATGGTGAAAACATGGGGGCTGGGGGGGAGGGAGGGGGAGGGGGAGCCCTTATTCAGCTCTTATTTTGGGCTTATTTAGGGCTTTCCCTCCCCCCCCTCCCTCCCCCCCTTGGGCCCCTGGGCCGGTTTCAGTCGCTCCCTTCCTTGGAACCTGGCCAACTGGAAAATGGTCCCTCCACAACCTTGCGAGCCCCTAAAGCTTAATTGTTTTTTTCGCTGAAAGCGAGGGATTTGGTCTTACGAGCCCAGAAATCGGCGCGTAAAGGTTTGGGGAGGAAGGGTTCCGCAGATTCGGTGCCAATTTCTTTGTGTTTTGGGCTATTTGGGATACTGCCGGTCTTCTTTTTGGAGGGTTCCCGCTAAAATCAACCCAGGGGAAACCCGGATTCATGGGCCTCGGGTTGATTAGGGTGTCTTTTGGGGGTTTCATTTTTGTTGGAGGGGAACACCTCCCTATTAACAGAACTGGTGTGTTCATCAACATTACCCACAACAAAGTATGCCAAGTTTTCCCATGGAAATCCACTAGGGGTCTGGGGGGGTTGTCCTGTTGAGACTTTCTTGAACAATTGGGCCCACATTCGCGATTGGATGGCAATCTTTTGAAGCTGGCAAGGACCAACCAGGTTGCAAGAGCAACCTATTTTCCAATAAGGAGCGGGGTCATCACTGAGTTGTTAGCCCACATGTTTGACTTTCCATCCCTCGAGTTGCAGTCCCCGTTGATTTTATAGGGAAATCTGCATGGCCAATACATTGTTTCCTTAAAAACTGGTTGATGGGCACAACCACCCTCCCCCATGTGAGTGATTCCCATCAAAGGGTTCCTATCTGTTTTAGTTCCCCTTACGCCCCGCGGCGCCAATAGCAGCGACCGGATCGGTAGGAGTTGCTGATCGCGTCAGCGCGGCGCTTTCGGCTGGCAGCCGCAAAAGGTGAAGGCGGAGGTGGGGTGGGTGGGTGGCGGTGGGTGGGTGGGTGGGTGGGTGGGTGGGTGGGCGGGTGGGCGGGTGGGCGGGTGGGTGGGCGCGTGGGCGGGTGGGCGGGTGGGTGGGCGGGTGGGCGGGTGGGTGGGTGGGTGGGTGGGCGGGTGGGCGTGTGGCGGGTGGCGGGTGGGCGGGTAGGCGGGTAGGCGGGTGGGTGGGCGGGTGGGCGGGTGGGCGTGGCGGGTGGCGGGTGGGCGGGTGGGCGGGTGGGTGGGCGGGTGGGTGGGTGGGCGGGTGGGCGGGTGGCGGGTGGGTGGGTGGGCGGGTTGGCGTGTGGCGGGTGGGCGGGTGGGCGGGTGGGTGGGTGGGTGGATGGGCGTGGGCGGGTGGGTGGGCCGGTGGGTGGCGGGTGGGCGCAGGTTTTGGAATCATTATTCAAACATGCAGAAGGGTACCTTTTTTGGGACGAATTTCGAAACCAAGAGGAAACTAGTCATTTTTGATGCTCCCTAATTGTGAGACACAGCAAGATGAGCAAAAACTCGCACAACAACACAAAGCAACCCTAAAGCCACTGCAAAAACGAGCCGCAAACCTAGCGCAAATCAGCTCCAAGCCAGCCAAAACCAACCCAAAGGCAATTGCAAAACCCACCCCCTGGATATCAGCCCTTTGCCGAGCCTAATGTGAACCCCAACCAACACCAATCAGTGTCTCAAAATATTGAGCCCATTTTGTTTGAGAGATTTGTCGGCTTGGAAAAATCAACTAAACTAGAAAAGGACCCATAGCTATGTCGGGCAGAACCGCTTCTGTGTGCTCAGGGCCCCCCCAAAAGGGCCCCCCAATCGCAAGAAGAGCAAATAGCGCCTACTACTGTGGGGGCGAAATCAACAACTTGACACCTTTTGGAGTGCTTTCAGTATTTTGGGGCCCTTGACAAGCATAAGACATATGGCATCTTTGCATCAAAACAGTAGTTCATACCAGAGGCTCATACTTGGGACATAAATCCAGCTTGGTGCTCCTAGGACTCTGGGTTCAATGATGCGTAGGGCTTTTTAAAGGAAAGACACAGGATATGGAATTTGACCAAGCAATGGGAATAGGTTGGATCTGCCTTACCTTACTTTGCCTAGCAAGCGCCCAACATTTGCACATGAAATGGTTGAGGTGTTGGTACATTGCAACAAAAGCATGCAGTTGGATTGACCGTGGTCAGTTGTACCCTCCCTCCCACCAACGTGGCACCTGACAGAGGCTCCCTTGAACAGGAAATTAATCTTCCAGAAATCCTCCCACTCTTAGTGGAAGGAGGGGTACAACCTTCTTTTTCTTGTGATCTTCCATGGAAGGAGGGGTAAATCCTTCTTTTTCCGGGAATAGCCAATTCTCGGCTCGGGCGGTTTGTGGCAGGTTCAAAAGATGTTTCCAGAAGGCGAATGGGGATCCACCTTGGGCTTATTGGGTGAAAGTAGATGGCAGAAATCACCCAGTTGGTTCAAGGTCATCCACAGAAAAGAAGCCCACGTTGGTTTAAAGTCATCCCCGTGGCCACAAGCAACAAGTTGTGTCATCTGTTTAAAGGCATCCCCTTAGCCACAGAAAAGAAGTTGTGCCGTCTACTTTCACCCTGGATTACCCATAGATGATGACTCTGCAAAACTGGCGGTGTGCCGCAAAGACACAGTGGTCCGGTAGTGCAGCTGGTTTGGCGTCTGCACTCTTCGGCAACACAGCACGGGCAGATGAGCTCTAAGTACGTACATTGCTCGCTTGCCAGTGGCACAGAGTCATGTGAGTCATGTGACATTGAAATAATATATGCTTGGTCAATTGTTGCTGTAGTCAATGGACTTGGACACATGGATCCAGAAAGGTCAATTGCTTAGTTGGGCCACAGCCGAGGTAGTTGGTCGCTCTTGCGACCCAACATCTGTGGCTATGAGTTTCATTGGGTCCATCCTAGTGGGTTGGTGGGCCAAACGCCGCTTCGAACGCAAACAAGCATAGCAGCATATTGGATGTGCCTTATTCTTGGGGGACCCCCTCCCCCCTCCCCCCCAGAAAAAAAAGGTTTACTTTGTGGTTTCCTTTCAATCCAACCAAAAGGGAGTACCCTCAAAAAGAAGACACACCCATATCTCCCAAGGGGTCGCACGCTTAGCACTCCGGCCGTGGCGTAACTTTAGGCTGGCGGCAGCCTTGCTGTGTGGTGAGGCGTGGCGAGGTGCTGGCGCCGCGCGCCGCGCGACGCGCGATGTTGTTGGGCATCTCTTTGTGGGTTTCTGTTGTGTCCTTTCTCAGCCTGGAGTGCATGACCATTTCGGGAAAGTCTCCCTGAGTTCCTGGACTTAAAGCACTTTTTTGGGGTTGGTTAAATGTTAGTTGTAAATGCGCAGTTTGGACTTTTTGTGGCTCTCGATCGGAAGTGAGCAGTCTGGTTGAACGTGCGTTAGTTTCGTCATCGTTTGCCAGCGCCTCCTATTCGGTTAAAAGAACTCACAGGAAATTGGCAGCCCAGGTTGGATTCCGGCGAAGGAAATCCAACGGGCTCCTTTTTGGAATCGCCCCTACCGCCTCCAGCGGTGCTCTGGAGTCCCTGAGTGATTCAAGCATCAAGATGGGTTCGCTCTGTTGGTTGCAAGGGTTTGACCGTTCTCCGGTTCAATCGGGTAGATGAAGAGTAGTAAATGACAGTCCCAACTAGAGAAGGGTCCGGATATCCGACTTTTTTGATTCTTTGCATGGCTTTGAATCCTTGCATCATCTTTAAATGGGAAACCAAAAGGAACACCCGATTTTGGGGGTCCGATTCCAAACAAAACAAGAGCCAGCCAGCCAGACCAAACGTTTCGGAGTCTTTGGACGGGAATTTCCACATAGGACCAGATGAACCCCCTTCCCGTAATGTGTTTGTCATTTTTTGAGAATCAGACAAGGGAAGTAAGTGAAGTTCAATTGCGGCCAGTTGTTGTTGGTTGCCAAGGGAACCCTGGATTCTATCGGCGGACACTTCAGACGGTGCGAAACAGTGCCATTGCGGGACATCTTTGGCAGGGGCTACATCCGTCTCTGGATTCCAGTTCCAACTGTCCACTGTGCATGGACGAAATCCTGCACCAGTTGATAGATGCCATTATTTATAGGGTTTCTTCCATCCTAACTGGTGCGAAGTGGATTTTGTCCATCCACAGTAGCTTCCATCGCTCCCCCGAAGATTGGGGGTCGCCAGGGGGTTCACCAACTTTCCTATGCTTGATCCATGCAGCAGGTACTGCATACTTGGTGGTTTGGATAGGTTTGGATTTGAACCTCCGGTTCTCAAGTACAAATTAAGTGTAGAAGTCACCGAACCACCAAGCCGCCCCAAGAACGAGTTGAAAGCTGAATGAATTGCCTTCCATTGGGCTCTCTCTCGCTCTCTCTCTCTCTCTCTCTCTCTCTCGCTCTCTCTCTCTCTCTCAGAATCCCGCGATGGTTTCTCCTTGGCGTGGACGTGCGAGCCATCGGTAATCCTGGCACCCGCAACAAAGCCACGGCCGATTCATTCAAGTGCCTGTCTTGAAGGTTGTTTGGAAATTCCCATTTTGGAACAAGTTGACATTTTGAGGGGCTCCGGTTCTAGGGTTGATTCCAAACGTTATTAAACTAAATCAAAGTCGTTCCTTGCAAAGACCGATCGCTGTTTTGGATCATCCAACCAGCTACCAGCGTTCACAGGGATCATACATGTTGCCTTTGTTCTTTCCGTTGGCCGTTTGCCAAGGGGGCCATGGCAAAGCGCTCCCTTGAAGATCAACGCGCCACGTCACCAAAAGGAAAGTCTCGCTGGTTTCCCTGCAGCTTTCTATCGAGCTCACTGAGGGGTAAACGAGCTCAGGGTGTTTTGCTTGAAGGGGGGGAACCTTAATTCCGGTTTGCCGAATACTTTGCCTCAGCAAGGATCAACAAGGATCAGCTTGGATTGGTGAGGGCAGACACACTGCTTTTTGTAGAAGGATGAATGTGCAACCCGTAGTCTCCAAACCACCAACCCCAACCACCAACTATGGAGCGACGCTGCAAAGTAGGCAACCCCTCGGAACCTCCCTCCAAACCACCAATTCCTACCACGAACAGAGGGCCGCTGAAAGTACGTTGCACAGGATTGGGCTTCTGTCCAGCCCCAACCTCCCGCACGAAAGCAAAAAAAAGAACACATGGCAGGAGCCGCCGGTTCTGCCAAAGCTGCCGCTGGCCGTAGCACGGCTGCATTCACGCGCGCGAGGAAAAACACCTGAGACCATACCCCAACTTGTGTGCGTGTGCGCCTGTGTTCTGTTTGATTGCCACTGGTTTTTGTCCGCCTCGCCTTCTTGGGACCCGTTTTTTCTTTGAGTTCGCGGAGAACACGCCCGCCCCTTTCTGGGGGTCGGTTTAGGCATCGCACAAAATGTTTCGGATCTCTTTTTAATCTACAACTTGAGGTCCACCAAGTCCACTATGGACCAAGATCAACAAAATATTATGTTTGGGGGGGGGGGGGGGGCAAACGCTGAGGAAGTACAGTGGAAACCCCACGCTGAGGGCCAGAGAAAAAATAAATGAGGTGTGGCTCTGTCACTTCTCTGCTTCTGCGGTTTTGGAGGTTGCCTATTTGGTTCTCCCTGTGGGTATTTTGGCTTATGAATTCAGGGCATCGCGTTGATATTTGCATCTCGGGGTTCCCTAAATATGGCCATATTCTGAAAAGCATATTTGTGCTGGGCAAACGGCAAACGCTCAAGTGATAAAGGACAACCCACACTCAAGGAGGAAACAAGGGATACTGTGGGGGGGTCACGGGAGCCCGCCACGGGAGCCCTCGAGCAAGGTTCTCAACCGTAAGAATTTTGTTCTGAGGATGGGCGTCTATGTCTTTTTCTCCCTAATGTTCCCATTATCGCATCGTCCCCCAACCATCATTGGACACCTTTTCGTGTGAGGTAGTTTTGTGCATGTGATATTCACAGAAAAACAACAACAACTTGTTGAGGTACGCTCCCTCAGACTGGCATGGAAGCTCCGAGGCCTCATGAACCAAGTCTTCCAAAGGAGTCCTAGCTTCCGAATCGCCTGGAGACCGCGAAGTTTGGGCAGTTCACCCATCCAAAGCCTTCAAACTTGTCGCTGAGGAGTTCCTCCGACTGCAACGGCTCGGCTCGGCGCCAGGCGTGGGTTTGACCGAGGGAAGGTGGGGAGGGGTGGGGTGGGGAGGGGGTGGGGTGGGGAGGGGAGGGGGTGGGGGGACATAGGCAGAAAGATGATGGGTTTAATATTGGGGGGTCCAGGTTGATTAACAAGACTCATCTTGGGCATGGTCTTTGAAAACATCACATCTTGTCCAGCGAAACGTGAAGCCATTACCTGTGGTCAAACGACCGGTTCCTTTACTCGGGTTAACGTTGGGATGGTCATCTACCTAAGGATCCTTAACAATGGTTCCCAACAAATTCGTCAGACCGATTCGGCCGCGGAGATTTGACCCATTTTTCTGGGTGACGAGCTTACTCAGGAAGGATCCAGACTTGGGGAGTCCGGCGATCGTTTCAATGGAAGCTACCAGCTTGTATCGGATCAACTTTTACAGGACTCCTTAAAAGGTCTCCATTTCGCAACCATTTGAAACATGTGGCTTTTTCCACCAAAATACAGGGAAACCACCGTTTACAAGGCAATGTTCAGGTGTATAATGTAAGGATCCCTGTTTTAAGGGGGAAATCCAGGCAGCCGTTATGTCCGATTTGAGAATCAGAGCTGGGCGATTGGAACAGGGTTCCTTTGTGTGTGATGAGGGTGGAAGGTGAGCGACCGAGGTTTGAGTATATACGTTATCTCCCACACGGGAGCCAGTATACCTCGACCATGTTGATGTGGGTGTGTCTCTTGAGGGTGTTCATGTTTTTGGTTTTAAAGAAAAACCAAAGGGAACATTGCAAAGTTGTCAAGCCTTTTTTGAGGTGGGGTCCCCCAAAAAGACGAGCACCACCCATGTGGTGTCTCAAAATTCGAACCCACAAACACCGGGTGTCCTGTTGCTTTCTGAGCTACCCGAGCTGGATCCAGAGGCCAGTGGGGAGACCCAACCACAAAAAGTGTCAGGTTACCCTTCATTGATGGTTTTGATTGGTGGGATTTGAAGCCGCTCAACCACCAAACCACCGATTTGGCTCCAAACCAACAAATTGGGGGGGGGGGGGGGGAAGCTCATAATTCAGGACCCTTTCTTCTGCCCATGTTGGCTTCCTAAAGAAATGCTTTTTTGAGGGACCCTTTGTTTTGTGCGTGCTTTTTTTTGGGTTCTCAGGGCTCGCTTTGGGGCGGCGGAAGGACCACCTGGGAATGGGTTCTAAGCAGACCTCTGGGCTGGATCTTGTTCACGATAGACGTTGAGCTCACAGGCGTTTTTTGTTATTCTTTTTCGAGTGGTAGACTATGAGTCCATGCCTGGATGTTTAATCCTTTGAGGGAAACTCTGTGTTTCAAGTGAACAACTTTTGGTGGAACAGCCACGAAGTCATGTGTTGCGGTCCGTTTCGCAGCAGGATGTACTACGTGTTTGTGCCGAAACTTGGGGTTGCGCATGTCATAGGTACCCTGTTTGGGGAGTTTGTTGAAACGGGAAAAAACATGAAGCCACCCATTTTTTGGGCCTACCCTACCCTACCTACCCAAAAGCCTGCAGGGAGTAACATGACGTGGGGAGCTGATCAAAAGGTCCTTTACACGGGATGACCATTCGGGAAACCACCAAAAAAGATGAGGCTCACCACTAAATGGGCAAAGTTACCCTTGGTCATTCTGGGGCGGGGAATATTGATCAACCCCGAAGGATGACCTCAGCGGGACAAATGGTCATCTGGGGGCCGAAGGGAATATAACTCAACCCTTACGTCCTTCAGGTCGCACCTATGAAGCAATGCACTTCCGCCTTCGCCTTTGGTCAGGCGCCGTCAATGCCCAGGCGGGCCAAAGACATCGAATTGGAGTCTTCGGACATCGCCGCGTGGGCGAACAAAGAACGACCTCCAGAGTTACGTCTCCCTCGTTTTCCGTTGGTTGTTTTGATGTGGTGTCTTTTTCGCTGGCTCTCTTTCGTGTTGTTGAAGGGAAACCCTCAAGCAAAAAAACGTGGTTCCCTTCAAACTCAAGTACAAAGAAAATGGTGCCGGGCCCTTTCGTACCCATGGCCACTGGAGGTTTGGGCATAAATATATACATATATAATATACACATACATATATATATATATATGGTACCCTCCCTGGAATACTCAGGTTTTCATTCAAACAATGATATGTTTGCTGTATATATATATATAAATCCCCCTGATCGCTGATTTGCTGCACATGTTCACTGTGCATGTGGAAACTGTGCCATACTTCTATACTTGTGTTGCAACCAGTTTCTCCTTTGCTGCTGAAGAAGTGGAACACTTTGCAGGCTGGGGCAATAAGCATGTTCAACAAAAAATCAAAGGTTACAGATCCAACCCTTTTTGCGCCAGCCAAGATGAGGTCTGCAAGGTCGTGGATTTCATGGGGGAAAAGGCATTGCTCACATAGCAACCAAGTGAGGTCTGGTTTTCGCACTTCTCGATGTGGATTGCTCACCTGATCAGGGTTCAAAACCTAGCTGCACTGCGATTGAAAGAGGGTGGTCATAAGGGCTCCCCGCGCAAGGAAAACACGTGGCCGCGTAAGCTTGTGTCGGAGGCAAGTTTGTCGCGTACTCGGTTTGCACTGTCCTTTTGTGGCTTTCTGGCCGTGAATTCCTTTTGAAGTGAATCTTTGAGCGCCATCGGATCGAAGGCTTTCAACAAAAGGGCCCCACACCCCAAATCAGAAGGGCCTGAACCCTCAAAAAAATCCAACTTAAACATGGGGTTTGACCCCCAAAACCTCAAAATTCCCTTAAACACCCCCAAAATTATGGTTGGTGATCTCCCATTTTGGGTAGTTTGAGGTTGGGGGTCGCTTTATAGGCGGCTTGCGGTCGCTTTGCTTCAGGCTGCGGGTCCACCGCAAAACCTGGCGGAGTGGAAAGCGCAACGAACCAGCGCTCTCTGCTAATTCAATTCTGGCCCTTGGCAGGGGCTCAAACACAATAAATTGGAATTCGTGGGTTTCCACTAACGCCGTTTGACACCTCGCTTGGGGCGAAGAACGCACGAGCTGCAGTTTGCAATTTTGTGGGCCCGGTTTCCTGCAGAAACCTCGCCGATCACGGCGGTGTGGCGCAACGAACTAGCACACGCTCTTGGCCCGGGTCGGCCCGGCTCGGAGAAAGGTCCAACAAAGGATCTGGTCTTTTCATCCGCTTTGCTCGCTAACAACCTTGCCCGGAAAGTCAGAAACGCAACATCGAAAAAGGGGGGGGCGTAAGGAAACCATCCAGTTTCGTAAGGAATTGTTTTCGTTTGAGCCGCGCGCGGTTTGCGCAAGGGAAGCTGATATGAATGTAAGCGCGCAAGAAACCTGTATTGCGCGTAAGCTGGCGCAAGCACCTTCGCGCAAGAGTTCCTTACGACCTAGATTTGAACAAGACCTTTTGAACGCCGCTCATCTGGCTTCGGTTTCCCTTTTGTCCCTTTAGACCAACCTTGGAAAGGGTACAGAGCATGCCGCCAAAAAATGTTCTCCGAAAGTCACTTCCTGAGTGGATTGGCCAGAAGAGTCTGAACTTTGTGTTTACCACTAAAATGGCCCAAACCAAAAAGGACTAAAGCCCATAACAGGGAGTGAGACTCTCCCATGTTTTGGGTTTGGTTTCCCGGTTGAAGGGGCAGGCTCGGGATTACTTTTGGAAAAAACACACGACCGGGGGGGGGGGGGGAATGGCGAAGCCTCTTTTCGGTTCATAAAACAAGGGCCGCCCTTTGCAAAGTCTGAATTCCCTTTATGATCATTAGGCCATTGCAAAGAAATCGGCAAAGGGCATCTTCTGCGACTTGGAATCAGATGGGCCGAGCCTTGCAAGGACGCCTCAGAACTGCGGAAAAATAAGATTGGCAAGCCGCTTGGGATCTTGCAAGCGCAACACAAGCCCTGGACGTTGCAGTGCAGCTCACCCGCGGCATGACCCACATGGCGGCCCTGCATCGCCACGGGGAACCACGCGGACGTTGGGCAGGGAGGGCGCAATAGCACTCCCCTCCAGGACCCCCCACATGGCGGCCTTGCCCATCGCCGCGGGGAACCACGCGGACGTTGGGCAGGGAGGTCCCCTGGCCGCGTTGTTTAGCAGGGCTCCTTAAAAGATCTCCATGTTGCCAATTTGAAACATGTTGCTTTTTCAACACCACCATAAAGGGAAGCCACCATTTACAAGTTGCAATGTTCAGGTGTATCGTGTAAGGATCCCTGTTTCGCATCACGGCAGTGAGTGCCGTCCTTCAGAGCCTTCACGGCTGAAGCTGGAGCTCGCGGAGCAGAGCGCGGAGCAGAGCGAACTGGCGGCATGGCTCGCTGGGGTGGCGCCTTGGCCCGAGCCAAGGCGGAGGTTGCCCCAGGGTCCTTATGCTGATCTCCACAGATCCATGGAAGCCAGAGAGGTGCTGCTTCCAACCGCTGGCAATCTGGCTCGTGAAGAAGAAGTGCTCCATTAAAGGGTTGCGAAACATGAAGGCCTATCCACAGGAACACCCATAGTTCCCTTGGGTTTGCTGTAGACATCAGTGAGTTGCTTTGAGTGTGACGCATAGGGACCCCTGATTCGGGACCCTTGTGACAGGCAGTTTCCTAAAATTTGTCAAGCTTCCTATAGGTCTCTTGACACATGTACCCTGGGTTTCAAGCCACCAATAAAACAATTGGGGCTCATACAACCACCATTGTTTACCTAAGGATTGTCATCATCCAGATTCTATCAACCTTTCTTTTAATGGGGGCTTAGGGCTTAGGCTTTGTGCCTGAAGGTGCGTTGCCGTTTGCTGGGCTTGCCCTCCCGATAAAACACGGCAAATGACAAACAAAAGCCAATGGTACGGCGGATGCCCCCTAGAAATTGCAAGCAAACCAACCACACACCATGGGAACTTACGGGGTTTCCCTTGTTCCGATGAAAAAAATAAAGAGCATGCACTGCCGAAACGATGGCTTGATTTGGTTTCCACTTTCCAGGCATGTTTCTTTTGCCCACCGATTTAGTCAGAGCAAGCCCCTGCACCTCTCCTGGTAACCCAAGGCTGTTTTTTCTCCCTTTTGCAGGCTTCCGAGGAGGAGCAAATGCTGCAGAGGCCGGGCGATCGTGAAAAAGGAGTCGAAGGCGGCATAGTGATCTTGGCCGAATGGGAATGCTTGGGATTCAGAGGCTTATGCCCCAGAGGGGTGTTGGGGTCTCAAAGCCTGGCGGTTTGAGGGCCCAAAATGAATCGGGACCGTCTGGGGATTCAGAAGTTTTGGCGGATTGACATCCTTCTCTTGTGGACATCCGGACATCTTTTAGGGTTTCCGAGCCATTTCCCTTTTTGCCTCCAAAAGTGGCGATCGCTTCAATGGAAACCACTTTTGCAGGGAACGTCCAGTGACCCCTATTAGACTTCCGGATGTTTAGAGGGACCATTTTGATACGAAGTTTTGATTCTGACTCATTTGGAGGATCATCAGCCTCCATAAGAGCAAACTGTGGCAATCAGCTCGTTATGTTGCAGTTGGGTTGCAGTTGGGGCACGATTCCAACCCCATTTTGCCCTCATTCCCCTTTGGCCACAGAGAGTTGCGCCATCTACCTGGACCCTCAAACTACCCACAAAAATGGGAGATCACCCCATAATTTTGGGGGTCAAACCCATTTTAAAGGGAATATCCAATTTTTATGGGGTGATTGGGGTGATATCCCATGTTTATGGGTAGTTTGAGGGTTCAGGTACTTCCAACTTCTTTGGCCAACCAGTCCGCTCGCCTGCCGTAGGCTTCGTCTGCGGCTTTGGGCGGCTGAGCTCTGCTGCTCCGCTGCCGAGCGGGCGGTGGAGGCGCGCTGAAGAAACCGGCGAGGGGTCGTGGGGGTTCGACTTGCTTCAACGTAAGAGGGCGGTTGTCTTCCCCAGAATTAATGTTAACCCCGGATTCATAAACCCCTGATTGATTAATAGGGGGGTGTCCCTTTTTAGTGGGAATTCATAACTTTTGGAGGGAACACCCCCCCTAATAATGGGACGGGTTTATTAATCCTGGGTGAACATTAGATGTTCCACCCTTCTGACGGGATTGTTGTAGGGCTAGCTGGAGTCAGTTCCCTTCAAGCCAGGGTTTAAACCTGCGTACACGTAGGTTGAGCATCCAAGTTTAACCTTCTTTTGCGTACGGATGTGTAGCCATTGTAACCCCTGGTCATTATCCATAAGTTCTTGTTGTGCCTCCTCTAGGTAGACACCTCTTGTTCAACTGGGGTTAGTTGGCTAATCTTTGTGTCAGGTTCCATGTTAATTGGTGGTAGTCTAAGTGGCTTGAACGTCCAAGTAGCTCATTGTTCATGCCACTTGTCCCATGCCTTCTTCGTACCGCCTCTTTGCAGAAAAGACATACCCCGTTCCTGCCCGGCTCCTTAGAATCAATTTGTTGGGAGCCCATAGTTCCCCACTACGGGGCCGGCATAAACCCACTCAACGTGGTTGTGTCGTTTTTAGACCGCAGGCTTACTTACCCCTTGCATGACGCACCGAATCGATTGCCCCTTTAAGTATAGAGTAGTTACACAAAGCGACACCCAGTCACCCCCCAACTTGCCCGCCTTGTTTTTTCAGCCATGTCCAAAATCCCCTTGGCACTGTCCCAAAAAAAGGTGGTGGGGGGGTGGGGGGGTGGCTGGGCGTTGTTTCGACGCAGCCATGCTGTGGATGGACGAAATCCTGCACCTAAGAAGCCCTGAAATGATTCGATTCCCCTGTACATACCAGCCCACGTTATGGTTTTCCATGGCTTCCTAGTGGTGCGTTTTGTGGATTTCGCAACCATCCACAGTATTGTTCGGGGGGCGTTCTCTCCAAAAGTGGTCTGGATCCAACCACTACAAGGGACGCCCCCTATTAATCGACATCAACGGGTTTCATAATCTGGGGCTAGCATTCCCCCTTTTTCGAGTGGTTGAGCTAGATGGACAGCCATCCAGTCCTTCTCTGTTGCCATTTTCCAGGCGGCCGCCGCGCACGCGGTGGATCAAGACGAGCGCAGTCTGGTGAAGGCCGGGCGGTTCTCTTTGCTGGTGCGATGGGTAGGAGTGTGGGGAATGAACCGATTTGGGATTCCCTGAAAGGAAACCACAAGAAATTAATTGTCTTTCCTGGGGTCATTCCATTTCTCACTCATCTTGCCGCGATCTTTTTTGGAGGGTACCATTTTTGGGGTTGGTTAGGGAAACCCAAAGGAAACAATGATTTTGGGGGTCGGTCCAAATCCCTATTTCGAGAGAAACGGGCCATTCTTTGGACTGTTTCTGGTGTTCAAAGTTGGCTGGGTTGTTTACCTTTAATCTACCAATAGGATAACTGTTGGTAAACGGGGCCAGTTCTGGCCAGAACTGTCGTCTTTGGGGAGGTACCCTTTTGGGCTTTTAGGGATTTTTTGGGGGTAGAGACAAACCCTCTTTCCGTTGACCCTGTCAGGCCTTTAGAGTCCATGTTTTTTTAAAGTTCAACCCCTTTTTGCATCTCACTCTCTGAGATCAACTGGACTTTGGTCACTTATTGGGGTTGGACCATGTTAGTATAGCGAATAAAAAGTCAAGGGGCTCTCTTTGGCCCATCCACTCAGGGTGTGAGTGAAGGGGGTGGGCCCCTTAAATTCAACTGCCCCCAAAAAAGGGATCGCGCGCCCTTCAAATCACGTGGGGCAAAAAGACAGTGGTTGGAGAATAAGAGTGCCCACGTTTCTCCCATCGGAGGACTGAGTTGTATTTGGTTTTTCGAAGAGAGTCTCTGGGAAAAAGTGAGGGCCTCCCTGGAGGAAGCCAAGTGATATCTGAAAATTGACCCGCAATCATCAGCTCCTTTTTTTTGCGGGGGGGAAAGGGGGGTGAGGAGTCCCCACACCCCCACACCTGTTTTGCAGCTTCTCTAATCCCAGGCTTCATAGGCTAGCTCAGGGAACCTGGGTAGTCCAAAAGGACACGGGGCGAGGGGTTTTTCTGGAGAACTCATCGCTCGTCGGAACACGGGGGGCAAAAGAGGTTCCCGTATTTCGGAAAATCTCCCCAAGTCGGGTCTTTGGCAAGATCTCCTTCCAAGGCCTGGTCTCGGCGTTTCGATCTCGTACAGTGTGCCATGTTAGGGTGGCGCTCGTCGACCAACCTTCTCATAATTGTCCCATTTCCCTCGGCCTTCTGATCCGGAATTTCCGGAAGCCCAAGGCAGAGCCAACGGAGGATGGCATTCCTGTGAAGGCGGGCAAGGGCGGCTGGGGGTGGAGTGTGTGTGTATGTGCGTGTGCCAGTGAGTGTTTTCTGGGTTCCTTGCCCCCATTAAAAGAAGGGTGAACTCAATTTAGATGAGGACAATCCTTAGGTAGGAAATGGCGGTGCTAGTAGCCTCCATTGTTTGAATGGTGGTTTGAACGGGAAACAATGGCGGTTTTACAAACCCAGCCATTGTAATAATGCTGGTAACTGAACCCCAGTGTTACCAGTGCGCGCGCGCGTGGGTGTGTGTGTGTGTGTTTTGGGTCCGGGGAGCCATCAACACCTGGATAGATGGCGGTAAGATACCAGTCACAACCATAAATGGGCGCGGCCGAATTCCTTGGTTGGCACCAGCGTTTTGTTATGACTCAGGTGTAGTTTTTGCCCAAATCGTGGTACCTCATACTGATGGAGGTCCTGGTTCGGCCTGATGCCGGGGTTCTCTTCGGTACGTCCTGCCGGCGAGCTGAATCCGAGATGCTTACCAGCCAGCAAACAGACCTGGCCGACATTTGCTTGATTGCTATTGGGTTAATGTTTTAGACTTTAACTTTTTGGGAAATAAAGGTGTTTTCCACTAAACCTCCAAAAAGTTAAACTTTTTGCAGGGGGGTCAACAGCAACCAAGTTTGGGACGATGTACAGCTGACGGCAGCTCACGCATGCCCCGCCTTCCATGTACCCTGCAGCTTGATGCTTTTTGAACAGAACATGTTGTGGCAAATCGAGGACCAACCCCTAAGATTTCTACAAACTTGGAGTGCTGCAGGAGAACTCGTCACGTTCCCAGGAAACAAAGGAATATGTGTGAGCCTGCTTGCTGGCAGGTTGCATCTCCTTTAGTCACTTTAACTTTGG